CTACGCTCTCCAGGTAGGAACCGGCCCCGTATCTGACCCAGGGTACAGCATCGTTGTGTGGAACACATGGGGGGAGGGTCGTGCTCTGCTGCTGGAGAGGGGGTCGTATGTGCTTTTGAGAGAAATTTGCTGCTTTGGGAAAAATTTCCCCCGCTGTTGACTTTTCGCGTATTTTCCCTGCTTGATGTGTACTATATAACCCGCGCTCGACGGAGAATTTCGTGGATGAAGAACTGGAAAATGTGAAGGAATCGGAAAAACTGGAAGAATGTAGGAAAGTGGCAGGTAGGTATTGAGGATAAGGGAGGGGGAAGGTCGTACTGAGACCCTCTCTTGGAGGGAAGGTTCGTACCTACACCACCACTTCACACATCGCTGTATCCTGATTTGACCTCCGGTCGAGCGCGTGGTAAGCGTGCCCCGTACCACAACACTACCTCTGCCTCATACTGTATTCCGACACCCCTCAAAATATTAGGTTAACGCGTAGATAGTTTTTATCGCTACAAAATAGCGTTTTTTCTCTTGCACTGCTCCCGAAATTCTCTTGCACTGCTCCCGGACCATTTAGGTGTGAGTTAGCGGCGCCGCCTGACAATGTGATTGTGGAGAACATGATTCAATGTGCAATCCAAGGCGGAATCAATTCTGCATCTATACAAAGGCTCTGTCACTGTCTTGCGCAAGCTGGACACCCGTGAGTTTCGCTTGTATACTTGTCTATTAAGACCGCTAAATTGTGTTGACGCCACAGTCACTATTATTTACAATGAAAGAGCGTCATAATCAAGATACGGCACTGCTCGGCGATGCGGAAGGGGGGGAGGGATTTTGCACCTACGTTGCTTCATTTATTAGGTCATCCCATTCAAAAATGCGGAGACATATAGAGGAATGGCAGGAAAGCAAAAGGGATAGGGCAGCGGGCTACTATACCATTTGGAGCTAGTACCTTTAGCTATGTATCTGTGAAATTTGGCAAACCTAGCCCAGAAGAAGTTCTCGAGAAATTGAAAAGAAGCCCGAGTGGTGAAAATCAGCGCCGGATTTTTGAATCAGGCGTCATAAGAGGAAAGTGCGCTGCTCAAATTTGACCTGTGCCGGACCAGTAGTTGCGTGTAATGGTGTTCTCAAAATGCAAGGTGGAAGATTTGGTTCAGGAGCCCGAAGAAGGAAGAAAGGAAAAAATTTGTTGTCGTGGATGGTCCCATAATGTTCATCCTGCACAAGAAAAAAGGGTGGATGAAGTCAAGCGCTGAATGTCTGATCACAGAGCCTGGACCTTTGTCGAGCTTCCCCGCGAGACTGACATCCCTGCTGCAACTGCTGCCCGAGTTATGTCCGATAAACTGAGGATGGTCAAGAGGGTGTGCGCATGGGTACCTAATTTTCTTGTAGAAGCACGAACGCAGTACCGATTCTCTAGCAGTAATGTTCTCAGGATGAAATGTCATTCACGGCTGTGAAAACGCATCCCGGCCCTAGATGGAAATATGGGTGGTCTTGGACCTCGAGCCAAAACTTACAATCGTCAATTTTGTATGAATGCAGATGAGCAGGTCGCCCGAATTCTACCATGAGGAGTTACCTATGCGCAAGTGATGATTCATCATAGCGAAGGATTCCCACACTCTGGCTTTCAGTCGGCTCTATACAGAGAAAAGTCGTCGCTGTCGGTGTTATTGCCTATCTTCGGCAATCAGATCGACAAATGGATGATACCACACAACTACAAGAAGGCCATCGTTTCGTTATAGTGCCAAACCCCGAGTAACTATGCTATAGCAGTGCTGGGACACAAACAATACTGAGACCTGGGTTCAATCGCCCCATTCGCCCGACATAAAGCCGAGCGATTCCAATTGTTCTCGTCAGTCGAGAGTACTCTCCGACGGCAAACGCCTACAATGTTTTGTCATTCCGAAGTGGCAGCAACACGATTTAGGGCACTCGTTTTGAAAAACAAACGTCCAAACGCTTTCAGGGGCCCCTGGGCAGCGGGTCATGGTGAGGAGATTCTACTTAGGTCGAAGCCAAAATAGCATTTTTTTTATCTGGATTCCTCTTCGTATTTATAGGAATAAAATCAGCCACTAATGGATGACTCTAATACAAGTCATTCACTTCTGATGAAAGCCTGTAACCCTTGTGAAATTAGGAATAGCTCGTCCAGCATCATCGTAAAACCCTTACTTCCAAAAGACTCTCTCTAGATTGGTTATGTTTAACGTGTCGATGGAAGTGGCAAAGTGCCCCCGTCGCGCAATCTCGTCCCATGACGACTCTTAAAACCTCGGGCACTGCTGATCTACCAACTCAGCTCCGGCAAAGGAGGCAACGCAGCACCTGGTGCTGATAGAGTTATTCCTGTAGAAGCTGTCGCTTTTCGTGCTGAGGGAGTGGGGAGGTTCGGTTGGGCCCTTGAGCCTCTCCATAATTCTTGTGGAGCTGGCAGACTGACCACAACTGGGGAACAGGCTGGCTCACGCCGTAGGAAAACTCCAGCAGCTGGGATTGTGGTATCTGAGTCCTGATCATATATTTCCAGCGTAGGATATTTTCAGTTGTTGATTTTGACGCGGAAATTTTTCTGCTTAGTGAACATTAACACTGAAAGCGCGCGAGGTCCAAGTCAGGACACCGTTGTCGAGCCAATCATTACTCATTGATATCATGCTTCAGCACAAAAGATGCTATTCAGTTAAATTAACCCAGAAAACATCCTGTCTATGATGCACTCAACATGCCTCTGCTATTTCCCTCGGAATGGTCTCCTCTTCCCACTCTGCTCTAAGGCATTGCGGTGTTGCTAGAAGAAAAATTCATCTGAAAGACTCGTCAAATAAACGATAGAAAGCTCGAAAATTTTGTGAGAAGATAAGGCATAGGATGGGTGGAGGGCAGGGAGAAAATTCCAGAGGTGGGGAGGGAAGGGTGGTGCCTTACACCGCTATTTGTCCCATCATGCTAATGGTGCAAGAGGCGTCAGATCTTAGCCTCAGAGCCGTGATTCGGACTAATTATAGTACGGGATGTGCTTGCCTGTCTATCGAAACCCATCCCCTCTAATCCTTTTTTGAGAGAACAGCATTCTTGTAATACTACTTTCAGGGCATTTACGCGTTGCGATCGGATTACTTGTCCAGTGAATGAAAATCTCGGAGTCAGAAAAGCGAATAATATCCACTTTTCTACGTCGTTCACTTGTTCAGATTTTTACTTAATGTAATTGTATCCGATGAAATTTCTGATAAACTTCAAAGTACACGGCTCTACACAATTTGTGGCACTGCGGAACTTTGAATTTTGGGAACGGTTCAGTGTCGACAATATCATATCTTTCAATACTGCTTGGCAGCGCTTGAGACTTCGGACCTCTAGGGTAATCCGAATCGGTAGGATCGCTAAATTCTCAAAAAAATTTCGAGTGCTCAATTTTCAGTGAACACGCTGATGCGTATTGCGTGTTGTGCATGCTTGAGTGGCGTCAGCATGCACAACACGCAATACGTTCGATCGTGACCCAGGCACATCGTTCGTTTGTTTGAATCCCCAATAGGGTGGGTAGTATCTTGGCCGCCAGTGAGAGGGGGTCGTAATTTGGCTGGCAAAAAATTTATTTTCCGATAGTGATTTCTCGCTCCACGGTCGTTTTTAAAGGGGAGGGGGGGCTCGCTATTTGGTCATTGTTGGGAGGAGGAGGGTTGATTTTTCGTACTAACGTTTTGGTGTGTGAGCGGTGATTGTCTTTTGCGTGATTTTCCTGTTTATCATGCTTCACTATTACAACCCCTCGCCCCTCCCCCTTGCCGCCTCGACAGCATAAATTTTGGTGGCGAAAGTAGGAAATTTTCAGAAATGGAAACAGTGGCAGAAGTTGGTTGAAAATCTGGAGAATTTTGCAGATAGGATTGTCGTATTTTTCTCGCGGCGATGGGACACAGAGGGCCGAGGCGGGGGGGGTGAGGTCAAACAGACTCGACTGAAATCACCAACCAGTATGTGTCCTGTCGTGACCCTTTTCACTTCATATCTGCGCGCTTCCAGCCGGAGTTTTCTATCACGTGTGTCGTTTGAAGAAGATTATGAGGCAATGTCTTTGACGCTTCCATATTCCTCACAACATGTTTCGTTTTGAACATCCTGACGAGCCATTACCGCGGAATGGGGCACCAAATATTTATTGATTTGAAAATATTCACATTATTAATAAAGATATATTATTGGTTCAAGTTTTTATAGATAAATATGCAATCACTGCTTTGTGAGAATCATCAGTTCGAAGTCACTTTTTCCTTGCTGAATTGTCGCGGGGTGATGTTTTCTTTCGCGGGCGCCTTCAGGTGATTCAATCTGTGACAGCTACAGCTTATATTACCACTTTAGTGGTCAGTTTTCATTGTTAAAAGGGGAAGTCAGTATAGATCACTTACGTCTGCACCTCGACCTCCAAAAGGTGGACGTATAGGGACTACCTGTAATAAGAACTTCAAAAAATACTTTTTGCATGGATTGGACCCTTATGGAGGGACTAATAGTCGAGTATCAAACCTGTGCCACTTGCTTTGGTGTGCGATACACGATAACAATACAAAGACAGGATAACGAAGCCGCAGTCAGGAATATTAATACTGTCGCTACGGCACTGTAAGTACTATTGAACAATTCGGTGCAGTTCGGCGACGTGGGGCATTTTACACTCCGAGCCATCTAGAGAGCTCTTTCATGAGCAAGACAAGAGTTGACGGGTTTTACCATGGTGGCTAGACGAGCTTGCTCCAGCTTCACAAGAGTTCACAGTTTCACCAGAGTGGGACTTGTGAACCGGAACTAATAAAGCAGTGGGTAGAAAATGCCCCCCTTCGCCAAACACTTCTTTAGCTCTGTTCGTCTTCTGGACCTTGAAGGCAAGTGGCACGATAAATCCCTAAGACGGGTAGGTCCAATAAAAGTATAAAGAATTTGGCGCCTCTGAGCAGGTGCTGCGCGGCGCCTTCCCTAAAGAAGGTACCCTTATAGCGCCCCACCAAGTTACAAAATACCGACCTGGACGCCCACCCCACCCCCCCACAAATGGACGACCGTACCTGATGCTCGTATTGCTTCATTTGCGAAGTAAAATATGAAGCGAAGGGATTGATATGAAGCGGCTGCGGTGCTGCATGGATATATGAGTACATACATGCAGCCGTATCTACCGTAGCGGTTATTGGCACGATGCCAACGGGAACTCGTCCAAAATTGCTTCCTGAGCCATGTAAACAAAGGCTTTTCTGCAGGTTTTTGACCGTTTCACTTCGTTTTTTTGCCATTTTCGCACTACTAGCACCCCCGCTACCCTTTTTGGGCTGAGTAACAAATTATCGTGTCTTATGCCTTTAAGCCTTGGGAAGCGTTGTTACCCTTTCTTCTATTGCTGCGTACCCCCTAGCCGCCGAAGCATCCTACAGCAATATGTCTTGGCTGTCGCGTCTACCGTACAGTAGTTCGCAATTAATAGAAGTAATTGTGGGACTTCAATCCTACAGTAACCTCAAAAACCTGCTTTCTCGGCGTTACGCCACTTTTTGAAACCAACGTCCCGCTACTGATACTGTGACGCCACTAACTTCAATAGGCTGACACGCAGCCTCTTTAGATCCAACGGGCGCAGTTCGGCAACGGCGAGGGGGGGGGGGGCAACTTGCACTTTACTACTAATCAGAGAGCTATTTCATAAGCTCACCAGGGTTGACAGTTTTTATCAAGGTAGCTGACTACTCTAGCTTAACAAGAAATCACAGGCTTTCCCAGAGTGAAACCTGGAACCGGAACTAGTGCAGCAGGTAAGTGCAAAATGCCCCCCCCATCGCCGAACAGCGTCGATCCAACGTTATACCCTAAACCATACAATGTATTTCCGAAACTCTTCTTTTCGACCCATAGAGACCATATTGTCCCTGAGGCATTCCAATAGTGATATCTGCTGTTTGGCATCTTTAATTATTCTCCATGTAAGTACGTTCGAGGAAATCGATGGCTTCGCGACTGAACCACTGATGAACTCCTGAACATGAGTAACATCGCGGTAACTGTTGGGTGATTTTGGCTTATTCCTCTTCCTCTTGCTCTCTCTCTCACGAGTAGTCGGTCTAGGGGAGCTTTCATAGGCAGCTTCATAATCTGATGGTACGCGTGAGTGATCTCCTTGATTGAATCAGATTTTCTCTAAGAATGCTAGTAGCATGGCAAATTTATCTAACTTATGTAATGTAAGTAGCTTACTATAAGAGGGGGGGGGGCTACGTTGATTGGCAATTTCCCTTGATCAAGTGATCAGCGAAATAGCCCCGTGCATTTGGCATCGTTGTTTGCACTCGCAGTGTATATACCACTTTCGCCACTCGAAATGGCGAGATAAAGGAGCTAGAGACGCGTGAGTTCTGCAACCACTGCAACCGCGAATTAACTTTCACTTCTGGCAAGACAATGGCTCACAAGCGGCATCGCGTGTGTGTATAGCGTTGCCTGGAGCGTCGTAGGGCGATTTCCTATGCTCTTGTCGAGAATTGGTTGCACCTAGAATCCTGGACATGTCCTCATAATGAACTCGCAAAAGGGCGCCAGCTGCACTGCTGGGGAGGCTCTGTGCTCAGGGTGTTCCCAAACTTTTTTCGCTTCTTTCTCTACTGATGAGTTTTTGATGGGCTACTGGTTCATGACTGAGCACCTGCTACCTGTTACACTTGATCGCGGGAATGTCATTGAGCAGGCGACTGAGAGTTGAGAGAATTGAAGAAACAGCGAAAAGAAACGTGCATATAAGCGTCGAAGTTGGACAATTGAAGAACCGGAGAGTCGCCAAATTGGAAGAATCAGAGAAAGCACCAAAAAGATCACATACATATCGATTGGAATCGTCGGTGGCAGGTCAATTCTTTCATGATAAATCAGCCAATATGTATAGTGTAGTTCGCTGCGGATGACTGGGCGTGTCAGGCGGGACGAGCTTGGCGCGGTGCCAAACCCGTTCTCCAGTTGTTAAAGCGAGCAAGTGATATGACTGTATCATATCGTTCGTATTACTCGTTTTCTACCACTTTTGTCGCATGCGCTTCAACAAGAAGGCAGAGAACGGCTTTGACGGCGTGACACACTCATACTGCCTGACACGCCCAACCGTTCGCAGCGAACTGGAGGATAAGCGATGTCACAACCCACCTTTACACGTCCTATATGATTGCAGTTATCAGAATTGCAAAAGCATGCAGCAATAAAGCTGCTACCCTTCGTGAACCCACCGCATTTACGGTTGAGCTGAAATAAGTACTAAAAAAGATGAACGAATTTTCTGAAAGCAGCCTAAATTACTGTTGGAAAATCTAATTGTTGTCAGCATTGCCCTGGATTCTCCACTTGTCTAAAAGTAGGCAAGAACATTGTACCTTTGATGAATTGAGTAGTGCATAACCATACTGTTGATTGAGTGTTTCACATTCAAGCGATGGAAAGGCCTCATAAAAGAGACAGAAATCTCCCTGAAACTGTGTAAACGACGCAATCGTATCAATAACAATCCACCAGATCAAGAACGCATTCCACTGTTACAGTATGTGTCTGCTGATCGCGGAATATCCTAATATATAAAGTCGTCATCCGGGGACTTGATTAGGGCGGCAAGGGTCGCGACGCGGCTGCGGCGTGTCACGAGCGCGGCGATCAGCTGTTTCCAGCCTATTTTAGCCATTTTCTCCCTAATTTACACTATTTTGACTGTTTTTCTCAAGATTAGTTGTTCCTTGTCTTCACAAGATAAATTATGATTGAGATTCCTCTGATTTTTGCGTACAATTAAACAGTTAAGCAGACAACTGAACAAATACCTGAAAAAATCGCAAAAACACTCAAACAAATAGAAACACTTCACGTCCTCATGTACCTCATAAAGACAATAAAACAACTAACCTTAAAAAATAGAAAACACAGTGAAAAGTAGGAAGAAAATGGCCAAATTAGGCTGGGAAACAGCTGATCGCCGCGGTCGTAACGCGCCGC